AAGTGGTTAGTGCTACATTTTCTGGTAGAAAATTCCTAATCTACATGAAGTTGTGGTTTGTGTTGGTCCTTGTAATAAGTAAAATGAGTTTATGGTGAATCCCAGAATCATTAAGAGATCATCAAAGCCAACTTGTGACTGATCTCTACCTTGACAACTAAAGCAGAGCACTGAGTGCCACGTCCAGTTGTTTCTTGAACCTTTCCAGGGGTGGGGACTCCACCACCTCCCTGGGCAGCCCATTCCAATGTTAGACCACCTTTTCTATGAAAAAATTCTTCCTCGTGTCCTGTTAATCTCTGCAGCCATGCTTAAGGCTTTCAAAGGCACAGCTTAGGCTTGCATCCCTGTCTGGAAGCCTACCAGGGAATAATGAGTTTGTCCTAAAGTTCTGATATGTGTTTCTTGCTCACTGTAGGAGCTTTGTGGTAAATGCAGCAAGGATTAAACATTTAAATGTGGGAGAATTACAAAAGTTTGGGATACAGTTATGTCACAGTACTTAAAGATGGTTATTACAGGTTTTTGTCACTTCATCCATGTGGGCCATGGGATTACTGGTTCAAAATAGAGACTGAAGACTAGTTATGGTTGTTGGACCAGATTTTGGGGGAATTGGGATGCTGAAGTGTGGTGGTTTCTCTGGTTGTGAAATGCCCATGGCAGGGCAGTGCCCAGTATCTGTTAGAAGTGGGTGAGGGAACAGAAACTTCATAAAGAGCCAAACAAGTTCAATTTCTTTCCAAAATTGTTTTCCTAAGTGAGTAATTTTTAGGACTCAACTTTGAGAGCAGCCACCCAGCAGCTCCCAGGTCTCAGGCATGGAAGAGCTGACTTAAATCTTCTTATTATGGAAAGGAAAGGCCTTGTTGTGCTTAACTGGTCAGTGGTGCAGACCTGCTGCTGGGTGATTATCAAAGAATGCATCTGGTGGGCAAAGACATGTCAGCAGTAAAGGAAAACAACCTTGAAAGTCGCCTGCAGTGAGCCTGCAGTTTCATAATTACTTGGGGTCAAGCTAATTGAGGGCTGGTGCCAAGAAGGGGGATTCCACAGCCCCCTCATTCCAGCTCCATTCCCACCTCCCTGCTGTAATGGTGCTGGGCCCTGGGCAGGGAGCGGGTTCAATGCAGCAGAAGGTAGGAAGGGAAGGATGAGATGTTTTCAGCTGGGTCCCTCTGCCCTGGTGGGCCATGTACTGTTCCACGTACTGGAATTGTCTTCCCAGGGAGGTGGTGGAATCACCATCTCTGGATGTGTTTAAAAAAAGACTGGACGTGGTGCTATAGTCTGGTTGAGGTGTTAGGCATAGGTTGGACTTGATGATCTTAGGGGTCTCTTCCAACCTCATTATTCTGTGATTCTGTGATTCTGGGTCCCATGCAGCTATGTCACCCTGAGGTGACAGAAGCAGGATGAGCAGGGAGTCTAACAGGGTCTGCAATTACCTGAGTGAAGGGAACATAAATTCACTCCAAGGTGATTGTTGTTACACTGGATAGTGGATTGACCCTCCTAGTTCTAGATTTTTTTATTTCTATACTGCCTGAAAGAAAGCTTTTAATGTTTGTTTTCTGGGGACTGTTGCTAATGACTCCCACACTTAGGAGCATAAGACTTTCTTGTCTCCTCTCCTCCCACTGCCTCCCTCCCACCCCCAGTAAATTTGTTGAAATGGGTCAAAGTAGAAACCCTGGACAGAGTTCTTTAGTTATCTCTGAACTGTGCCTGCCCTGAATCGATGGGACTTTGGGGCAGGGGGAGGGATAATGGTCTTGCTTGTTCTCTCAAGATGTGCTCCAAGCAGTGACTCCCTTTCTGCAGGTGGCCCTATTGGGCCAGAAAGTTCATTAGCCAGTGTTGAATCAGTGGAACTGACACTTCCAGGCTTTGAATCCTTTCCACAGCCAGGTCACTGCTTTGAGCAACACCTTTGAGCCCTGGTTTTTGTTTGCTTTTCATTGGAACCCTTTTGATTTCAAAGGGAAGGATGAAGGATGATACTGAGACATGGGCTCCTATTTTTGACTCTCCAACACACTTCTCTCTGTGCAGAATTATGTCTCCTTTTACTTGTTGTCTGCTTAGAGAGTGATTACAAGGCTTGGGGAAGTGTTTACGTTTGAGTGTTACAACATACTCACGTTTGAAATATTGAAGTTACTACTATTTGCTCCTTATAATGAGCTTGCTAGCAGAAATAATGCATTGGCAACATGAAATTTTTTTTTAAGACTGGGCTATCTCATGAGATTAAATCACAAAAGTATGAAAAATCTGCCATTAGTCCTTTTGAGTTTAATCCTGTATCTATTATTAGGTTTAAATAAATGAAACTTGCATTGTACACTGTTCAGATCAAGGAAGGAAGAAAAGATTAGCAATTTTTCCAAACAGTTTTGACGTGGTTCTTATTAACTATGACATGGCTTGAAGATTTAATACCTTATTTTGTATCAGGTCATGGGGTTAGCTACCTGCTGCTCCTCAGCTGGAGCTGCATCTTAGGCTCTCAGTGGCTCCTCAGTGCAAGATCTGGAGCTCCAGCCCCAGAGTCAGGCAGCTCAGGGCAGTGCTGTGCTGGCACTTCTCCTGGCAGCAGAGTCTGTGCCTGGTGTGTCACAGCAGGAAAGGTTTTGTGGGGAGGAATGATCAGACCTGGCCCAGAAGGAATTCAGAAAATAACAGCAAGCATAAATGCGCCGTGGCACCTCTAGAGAAAGTCCTTTGTTGTTTGCTACCTGACTCCTCATGGTAGCACAAAATACAAAATTTATTTATTTGTTAATCCGTTCTTTTTCTTTCTTGTCTCTAAACTTGGAAGCACAGGTCTTTAAAAGTCTTGCTTTTCCATTGGTCAGGTTCCTTGCTAGCAATTGATATTGGAAACCAAAGCACTCCGTTCTTTGCTCCACTGAAATTCCCTCTTACTTCATGATTTGTGTTTTCTTTGCTTGGCTCTAAATGTGTGCTTCCTTTTTAAATATAGTTTTCCAAGTTTCTGGCCGTACCAGATTGTTTATATTTTTTAAAAGCCTTCTGCTTAGCCGTTATATTGCTCTTTATAGTTCTGCTTAACCACATTGGTTTCTGTTGCTCTTTTTTCTTGCATAAACTTAGCTGGGATGAATTTCAAATGTGGTTTATCCAACTGTTAAGTATTTCCCACTTTTCTGCAATAGATTTCACATATGTTACAGAATTCCAAACCAAGATCTGGTGGACATATTGCCCTGTTTCTTTACCCAAAGTCAGATATAGAAGGATTTTTAAGCATTTCAGTGACAATATTTAGGTCACTGGTTCCAACATGCTGCTTGGCTTCAAACCCATTTGTCATATTGAGCTGGTTTCCAAGGATTAGGATAACTATGGTCCATATATTTATTTTAAAAAATACTAATTTTATGCTTATAAACCTAAAGGGGGGAAAAACTATTGGTCCTCTTGAGTTGGGAATTCAAAAGGTTTTTTTTTTTCCATCCAGAGGTCAAACTATGGAGTGCCATAAGACACATGTGCATCCATCCAGGATGTACCCATTCAAAAACGTATCTAAAATTAGGAATTAGGCCTTTTCAGAGTATTTAGATGGCAGTATTTGTATCTAGTAACAAGTCAGCAACTTGACCACCTATTTGGGATCTGGTGCTAGACCTGACAGGAGGTCCAGCCTTGTGCTTTTGGTCCCTTACAGGTGATTGAGTTATGAACAAATTACAGAAGCATGGCAAATTTCTGGTGGAGAATATTGGGAATTTTGCAGGCAGGTTGGAGGCCCCTTGGCAGAGGGATGAAGTGAAGATAGTCTTGCTCTAGTGTGTTGCTCTCACTTTTCATGAACTTTCCTCATAGCCAGGTTTTCCTCTCTTTGAATTAATAACAGTTTAAAACAGTGCTGTATTTCTTTTCTGAATTCTTGATTCTCCCAGTGACTTGGGGAATGATGCCTGTAGCTGAATGGAGAGGTTTGCCTTTAATTTTTTATATTATGGGGAAATATTGCAGAAGAGACACAAACTGACACAGAAGATTGAGTATTGTTGGTTTATGCACTGATAAGTGACCCGTTCAATCTATTATGGTGACACTTGGAAGCACAGCACTGAATGGAGGAATTGGGATGGGGATAAAACACTTGGAAGAAGCTGGAAAACAGTGGGACCCGTGCTTCAGCTCAGTAGAAACTGTTGGAAGATACTCTGGCATCCATCAGGTGCTTAAAAAAAGATATGTTTTGGAGAGGAAATGGACATACCTGCTAATAACCTTGGAGGAATAGATTCCAAAAAGATAGTTTTGTGTTCAAATAATACAGACTTAAATAGAAAAGAGCAGTGCAGTGGCAGTATGGAGTTATATACAGCATGTCATAGGAAATTAAGAGTGACTGAGGTGTAACCAGTCCAGAGTCAAGTATAAGGTTACTCTATATTTGAATTAAGAAATTCCTATAATAGGATAACTGAAAATGGGGAAAACCAGTATCTCTAAAAAGCAGGCAGGTGAAAAGAAACCTGATTTGAATATGCCCAAGATCTGTAATCTCCACTGGACTTGGGAATTTATTAGGAGGTGTGTACTGTGTGCCATTGCTCCTGTCCTGTGTGATGCTGGGGTGGAGCCATGAATAGTTTTGAGAAGAATAGTGATGCTTTGGTTGCAAGATGGAATTCAAAAGGCTGTAGCCCTTCATTTGCTGTTATTCAGGAGGTCAGATCTCTGGTGCTTGTTCTGTGCTGCTCCCTAGACTTTCCATCTCCATATTCCCAATAACATGATGTATGTATGAGAGTTTTTGTTTTTTTTTTAATTTCTGTGACAAACAGAGCTCTGGCTGAATTTCTTTTTTTATTATTATTATTATTTTGGTTTGGGTTTTTTGGGTATTGGGGTTTTTTTGGGGTGTTTTTTTCTTGTTTTTTGTTTGTTTGTTTTTGTTTTTGAGGGTGTTTTTTTCCCTGTTTGTTTATTTTGTTTATATTTCTTTTTCTTAACAGAGGGAGCTCGATACCACAGCAACAATATTGGCGAACCAGCAAGATGAAAGTGAGCAGTCCAGGAAAAAACTTATTGAGCAAAGTCGTGAGTTCAAGAAAAACACTCCAGAGGTAAGGAGAAAACCTATCCCAGTCTCTTACTGTAGTAGGTGGTCTTAGGCATGTAGAAGTGATGGTTTCTTCTTAATGGTTTATTTCTATAATTTTCTTGTATGTATTGTCAGGTCCTTATTTATACCCACTTATCTCTGATGTTTTCCTCATCAGGGGGCTTTTGCATTCTGTAAATACTGAAATGTGGATGGATTTTTTTAGAGGAAGCATCGACACTGGCCTTCAAACAGGCTTGCTCTAAATTATATAATAATGTAAAACCTGGAGATTTGCAAAAAAAAAATTCTTCAGCAATCCAAACTCTGGGAGCACTTGGATGTAGAAAGTGACATTTCGCTGCCTAAATAAATCTATATCAAGGGCATAACTTCAAAGATGCTCATTTTTCCATCAAAAATCAAATTAAGTTTCGCTGTTGATTTCACTGGAAACACAACAAGGTCAGGGCTGAGCCAAGCTCCCCTGGGAGGATGTGCATGGAGCACAGGTGTGGGGTAAAACTTGAAGGGGTAAAACCAGTGGGAAATCTGGGCAGGGTGAACATTACGTGTGAGAAGCTGGGAGTGTTGAAATGTTGAAACTCCTCAAACCCACAGATAATCTCACTCGGTTCCCTGCTGAAAGCAGAGCAGTGCTCAGGGCTGGCTGGCTCCCCTGTTTGTTTTGTGGATTTGGGTTTTTTTTTTTTCCCTGCTGATTGCCAGCAATCTGTTCATCCAGGAATGTTGTGGCATTTCAAAGCCAGTTCCAGATAACTGATATGCCAGCACCAGCTCCTTCCAAGGCTCTTCCTGGGAGGGAAGCAGCAGGCAGCTCCCCTAACCTTCAGTGCTGCTTCTCCAGCAGCAGATGCTGCTCTGCATCCTGGGGATGCTGACCCACACAGGGGCAATGTGGGAGCAGGAGGGACTCGTGGGGAACAGGCAGTGTTGTTTATCTGGTGCCTTGAGGAGGCTTTGTGGGGCAGAAATCAGTTCTCTTTGAAGAAAAGAGAATTTGGGGAGTGCAGCTTTGAAGGAGTAGGACTTTTTAAAAGGTGTAAAAGAATTTGAAGAGCAAGTTCAGGAGCTGTGAGAGGGTGAGTTGATTCCTTTTGCAAACTATTGGGAAGAGGAGGAAGGATAGAAGTGAAAGAATATAGAGAGTATAGGAGATTGTACAGAATGCAGAAAATACATGGAATTCTGGGGCCACATTTTCAATTGTTTGCTAGAAGCTTAAGTTTATACTACAAAACCTAATGTGTTTCCTGCTGCCTTCCTTTTTTTTCCTAAAAGTAAAATGACAAATTCTTTAGAATGTGGCTGTAGCTGCCAGTTCCCATCTGATGGCATGTTACAGATTTCAGGAGGATTTCTTAAAGCCAGTTTTATTTCTGTGGAGCAGAAGGGGACCAAGAGACAAAACCCCCCAAAACACTACACTTTTGAAGTGCATTGTGAGAGCACCTTGGTAACTCGGTGGGAGAGGAATGTACAGAGGCAAATAGATCCTCTTGTAATTACTTTAAGAGAAATAGTGGGAAATTATATGCAATTAGTCCTTTCTAGTAAGTAGGATACAGAAGTTAAATAATTTGATGGGAAGGTTTTAAATATTACTTTGCAAAATACAATTCTGTAGCCTCTATTCTTTTCCAGAATATATGAGTTTTATTTATTCAAGAACAACACTCTGAACATCCCCAGTGTTTGAGGAAACTGGGTTCTCTGCTAGGTTCTACATCCTCATCTTTTGTCCTGGGACTTACATGAAACCACATTCCTTTAGAACTTTGCATGAATTTTTTAGTTTCTTTCTTTGTCTGCCTTCTCTGCCGTGGTGCTCTTCTGCAGCTTTGTTTCTGAAGAGCAACTTGTACTTCCTCTGACAGAGAAAGAATGAAAATGGGATCAAAGAATTAGAGGGAAGTATCTGAACTGTAGGAATAGGCAGCTGTAGCCAACTGGAGATGTAGTTTGTGCCCCCAGGGGCATGGAAGGAGCTCAGATGTGGAAGGTCTGTCCTGTCCAAGGGATTTGCTGTGGTAGATGGGGGTGTCCAGCTGGCAAACTGCTCTGGATTTCCTCCTCACACAGAACTTACAGCTTGTGCAGTGTGTGTTCACCTTCAGTTGTTGTTGCACTCCCAAAGAGCAGGGAGGTCTGTGAACATTTCCCCAAAGTTCAGGAGGAGGCAGGATCAGTAACTGCAGCTTTGTCTGGAAACCTCCCCAGGGTGGGAAACATCCTTGAGGTGGACTGGGAATGCACAGGGGGACACTGGCATCTCCAAACCGATACATTTAAGTTCCTAAAACATCCAACGAGCTCTTTTTCTTAACAAAAGAGTTCTGTGGTAGAAAACCAGCCTGGATGCAGAATGTTCTTCAGATAGATAAATAACCCAGTGTACAGTTCAATTTCAGTTTCCACGATGAAGTAACAACTTTCTTGGCATTAAAAGAAGAAACAAAGCCACAAAGATGGAATTGTTAAATGTAACAATCTGTTTCAGAATTGTACTTTCCATTTTGTGTTTCCCCTGCCTGCATCCCTGTCAGTGCAGCCCTGGTTTAGGCTGTGCCAGCATCTCTTTTCCTCTGCCCTTGCCAGTCCCACCATAAATCAGGAAACAAGTGTGAATTGCCTTGACTTTCCTATTCATTGTTGCCTCTAGACTTTCCATAATATCCCCTTGAAAGTTATCTCCTGTGCTGTAGAAAAGGATTCCAAAAATTCCTAATGAGGTTGAGGATACTTCTGTTTCTTTTAACTTTAAAAGTTGTGACAGATCTATTTGGGTCATTTCTGCCTTCTTTGCAAATTATCAAATTGCTGCAAAAGCAATACAATGTTTTCATGTTTGGAGGAATGTCCCTAGGGCTTTTGGTATTTAAAAATGTTAAAATACTATTTCTGTCTTGGCATACTGGGAGATGACTCTGGGAAGAAGTATCTCATGTTTGGGAAATTTAGATGAACAGAAAATTCAGCATTGGTTGTGCAGAAACTTTTAGAAAGGGTTCTTAACTTGTTATTGCAAAAATACTCTTTACCTCTTCACACCTTTTAGGAGGTCATGTCAGACCTGCTGCTCATAGATGTTTTGGACTATTTCCAGTCTCAATTTGTTTCTCCCTGAGCAGCTACTGTGGAAGGCTGAGACTGGTCAGGAGATTACTTGAAACATCAATTTTACATGACTGTTACTTGGAAGACATCTCAAAATATATCATGTGAATTGCCAGCCTGCATCAGATGATTATTTTCTTACAGTGACAAATCCTGAACTGTTGTGACCAACTGTGGCATTTCTGGGGTGTTTTAACCTCTGTGAAATTCTTGTTTTACTTAATCCTGTCTTCATATGTCAATTCTGGTGTGAATAACAGAATGTTTGAATGACCATCTTTGAGAGTTGGGGTTTTTTAGTCTCTAAATAATTCCAGGTGCACAGGCTAATAATTTTTGGAATGAAGTGTAGATAGTTCCTAATGTTGATACCCTTGCTTTTGTTTTTACCCAGATTCTTAGTTCAGTAACCACTTTTTGCTTACCTATTTCTGTTTTAAACACTGAAAAGCTTATCTAGTACTTCCACTTTTAAGACTGTTTAACCTGTTACTCTCCATTGCTTTTCTCTAGGATTTGACCCAGGTAATATTGAGCTGTGGGGTTATTACCAGGGGTCACAAGACAAAAGACCAGCCTGGGAGGCCTGGGTCAGCTGCTCTTAGGAAATGAAATAAGAAAGTAATTTTATAATGGGAGATTGTGAGCTCTACAGAATGAGGCAGATGTGAGGTGCCTACATAAAGGCCAGAACTAGAGACAGGAGCTTGCCCAGTCACTGTGGCCCTGGTTTTTATCCTGATGGGTGAAATGGTAAACTGGATGGGTGATTCCTCACTGGTTTTGCCATTTGCAGTTTCTGGGTTGTAAATGAACTCAACTGGTGAGATTGAGAAAGTCAAGATTACCTTTAAATGCCCAAATTCCCACCTGAATCCTGTAAAGCAGATTAAAGGTTCAGTAGGCAGAGTTCTAGAGGGATGTGGGAGAACCTCTAAGCACAGAAACACAAATTCTCAGAGATGCTCTGGAAAGTGGAATATGGGAAAGTGCTAGAAAACAAAATAATACCTGAACACTAACTGGACTGATGACCTGAGCCCTTGTTTCATCTCCAATAAATGACATTTACCTGCCTCCATCAAAGCTGTTTTCCATCAGTGTCACCCAAACCATCCCCATCCTTCTCCATCACAGTTCTGCAGTGCCCCAAAGAGAAAGAAAGATGCCTGTAAAATCTTCTGTGACACAAGTAATGGTTTAATCATCATGCTACGTGTCAAGGTGATGCACATCTTTAAGATCCACAAGCTTAAAAAAAAAAAATTCATTATAATTGCATTGTCATAAGGAACTAAAGGAAATTAAGACAGTTATTATGGAAGAGCTCAGTTTTTCAAAGTGCAAAATTCTCAAATTCTTTGTCTCCAGTGTTTCTGGAGTATTCTATTGAACTAGCCAGTCTCCACAGCAAAAGATAATATAATTAAGGGTAAAAACAATAAAATAATTCTGCTACTTGAATTAGTTCTTGAAATGAGAGCAACATCTTCAGAATTGTGGGTAATGTTGATTCCCAGAGACTTTGCACAGTCAACTTTGGTCTAGTCTGTGTGACAAAGTGGAAATGATAACAAAATCTACTGAAAACACACAGTCTGTCTGAGGATAATTGATGTTCTCAGTGTCTGTGTACAGAGGGGTGAATATTGATTTGCTGCCATCTACAGCTGGGTTGTTCCTCTCCTTTTATTGTTTTCTTTTTTCCTTCCCCCCTCCTTTTTCCTTTTCCCACTTTCCTCCTCTTTTTCCTCTCTTCTTTCCTTTTTCCTCTTTCTTTCCCCTTTCCCTCCTAGTTTTCTCTTTTTTCCCCCTTTGATGAATACTTAGGTGCCATTTCCTGCCTTCCCACATTTTTATTCTTAAGAGCTTTGTTTGTCAAAG